CAGAAAGCTGCTGGTGGATGATGCTGGGCCTCACGGGTGGGGAAAAGAGGCACTGATACGTGTTGGGACTGAGCAGGTTAAATATGTAATTTGATTAAGTTTAATGAAAAGGATTTTTATAGGGCAAATTTAAAAAGAAAAAAGGACAAAAATGTTATTGTGATGACATTTACTTCGCTAAAATTTAACATTAATTCTTTTGGCATTATTAGCTTTTTTCTGCATATGAAGATGGGCATGCAAAACGCATCTGAGAACCAATGGCATATGAAGAGATCACACAACATAGCATCAGTCTTCACTGCCAGAACAGGACTCTTTAAAATATGACTATATCCTGCAAACGTGCAGTTTGGATCGTAGCTCTAGACCCTGCTGAACTTGGAGGTCCTGGACAAACCATGTCTGACATGCATCGACCGGCGCGGTCAAAGTTCAGCTGTGCTGGTAATGAAGGAAGTGTCATTTGTCAGCCCACAGCTGTTCACCATTTCTCTGACCCGATCCTGCATGAACTGGACGATTATTAACCCTACGAAGGCTCATTCATCTAGGATGATAACCCAGGCCAAATCTGAACCATATGCTATCAGAAAATGTTAATTATTTTTTGGGGTTGTGAATCAGGACACAAAGCAACAGGCCAAGGAGGGCTAAACAGTTTGGCTTGTTTTCCAAAACCACTGTAGTGAGAACTATGTAAACATGGCATTAATGACTAACATCTGTAGCCTAATCCTATCTAAAATATATTCTCCTGTAAAACAAACACTAATAATGAATAAATATTTAAATCAGAAACTGTATCAAGTTCCTTATATTTATGAGTTTTCCTGTTTTTTCTGTATTATATATAATATATTTATCATATGTTGTGTTATATATGCATAGATCATAGCTTAAAACATAAAACATAGCTAAAGTATATTTCACTGTCAAATAAAAATGGATATATAGTAAGATTCTCTGGGGGGAAGTGCCTTGTTGATGTCAGAGGTGAGAGGAGAATGGCCAGACTGGTTTGAGTTGATAGGAAGGCAACTGTAATTCAAATAACCACTTGTTACAATCATGCTGTGCAGATGAACATCAGTGAAGCAGCAGCAGAAGACCACACTGGGTGCTTCTCCTGTTAGCCAGGAACAAGATTCAAGGTTTCAGCTGCAATATTCACAGGATAGGTTCAGAATCTGGTATAAATCCATCCTGCCTTCAGTGGTTAAGGCTCATGGTGTAATGGTGTGATGGATGTCTTCTGGGCACACAACTGAGCTTAATTTAAACACCACAGCCGACCTGAGCATTACTGCTGCCAGTGCATCCACCCTTTTATGACCACACTGTATCGATCTTCTGATGGCTGCTTCCAGTTAGGTAATACACCATGTGACAAAGCTTAAATCATCTCAAGTGGCTTCTTGAACATGACAGTGAGTTCACTAAAATTGCCTCCACTGTAACCAGAGCTCCATCCAATAAGCACCTTTCATATGTGTTGTCTATTAAAAGGGGAGCAAGACGTCACTAGCGAGGTATAGCTAACGAAGTAGTAGGTAACTGCATGTCTTCCTGAGAAACCAGCATGTACGGTAAAGTGCAACTGATGCTTGTTTGGTAAATACTTGGCTGAAACTCAAATTGAAAGTGAAATCCACAAAGCTCACATTTAATGCTGCCATTTGCAACAATGATGTTCAAGTTTGACTTTAAAAAGGTTTTCATTCAAGTAAAATTTCAGTACAGTTCTTATTTTGATCATTTCCAAACCAACCTTTAACCCCCCCGCAATGGTTCACTCCAAGAGTACAAGAGTAAAGACACTTTAATAGTTTGCACCTCTGACACTTGAGTGTGTCACTAGTGTAGCACAAAGTTCCTATGGCAACGACTGACATCACTTTGTACTGTCTCTAATTAATCCAGCTTGTCTCCGTGAAAGATCTCTGACACGTTCAAAAGCACTGATCTCACATGTCTTCATATATACACAGCCAAAAACACAAATATACACACATATATGCACATCCACTGATTCTGCTTACCTGCATTTATACATCTTCCTTTGCTTATTTTCACTGCTTCACTCTAACATGCATTGCATGAATGTTGCCTGTTTCCCTGCAGCTCAAATTTGACAGAGGGCTGGTTTATGTTAGAATGATTTCCCCGAGCAAAAATAGACCTGCAGATCAATAAACATTGGCTACAGATTTTTGTCTTTGATGTTTGTGCACTTGTGTGTGTGTGTGTGTGTGTGTGTATGCACTGCTATCCTGGATTAGAGTTTTGGCACAGATTTCAAAGGTCTTATCAGATGAAGGTTAGAATTCTGCTTGGTTGATGAATGGCTGCTCCGTATGCATTCAGCTGGGCATGTTCATGTTCCTGTCAGTGTTAATGGAAGGACTGTTAAAGCTTTGTGTGACAAATGCATTTCTGCCATACTGTAAGTTAGTACATAATGCATCCATGTCAGCCACCTCTAATATCCACCGCTGAACTGGAACAGGCAGGGCGGTTACACAAGCTGGAAGCTGCGCAAATGCATTTCTGACTATGTCAATAATACTAATCAAAGGTCTGAGTAACAGAGGAAGTCAAACCGTACCCAGCTGAAAAAATTCACTAGATCTGTTCAGCTGTTGCACACTCCATTGTGTTCACTGTGAACATAACGTAAAATCATTTTAGAACATTTTCTCCTTTACGAACGTCATTGCACCCTTTGTGTGGGAATCCAAATTGTGGTCAGGTGCATCCTGTTTACTTTAACTGTCCTTGAGCTCTGCTGGAATCCACCTGTGGCAAACTGGCAAACTGATTAGCCATAGTTTAGAAAGGCACACACCTGTGTATATAAAGCTTCTACAATTCACACTGCACAGCAAGACAATAGCAGCCATTATGACTGGAAACTGCATTGAGGTGCTGGTTCTAAATCCATTTATAAAGGTTTGAGTGGTTATTAGGAGAAACACCCAAGTAACGGAATGACCAGGGCTCTTCTTAGAGTCAGCCAGACTAAGTAGGATGTCTGAGTAAATATTTAATTGGTCTGGTATGTGACCAAGAATTCAGCATTTATTGCAAGAAGACTTCAGATGTTTTCTGTAGAGATCGGAGAACCTGCAGGAAGTTTGACCGCCACCAGACGCGAGCAGTTCTGAGTAAAAGACACATAACAGTCTGCTTCATGTGTTTCAAATCACATGTAAAGGATGTCCGAAAATAAAAACTCAGCAAACATGTAGAATCGTGTTTGTGGGACACAGGCACTGCTGTTGGATGGTCTTCTTTGCAGCTGGGGTCAGAAAGCCCGACAGGAAGGATGAGGAAAAGGATTCTGGCTAAATGCATGTAGGTCTTGCAAGATACCATCGCCAGAGTGCATCGGCTTTGGGAGAGTGGGAGTCGCCTTTCATGACAACAGTCACCCAGTGTTCAAAAGGTCATCCATCCCCCCATCTATTCTCTGTACTGCTCCCAATCAATGATGAGGAATAGCCCCAAACATATAATAAAATGCTGGGAATACAAGGAAGTCTTAAGCCAAGGGGAGGAAGGTCAGCCATTCTGGGGATGACTGAACTGCTGTGCTATTTCCTTTTCTTAGGACAGTTATACTGGTGTTTCTGGATTACAGTGGGAGTATCTGTGAAGCTCAGCAAAGACTCTCTCTGGTCCTGGGTGGGTCAGAAACCACACACACACACAAACACTAAGTTATGTATGCACATTCATGGAAGAGTACCTCCTTCTAATAAATGAATGATCAACAGATATATGTTTACTGACATGGATTTATTGTCATCACAATCCTCTTGCTCTTACCAGACAAACTGGGGAGGTTGTAGATTTCTTTGACTCGTCATCACAGAGGTCACTTCGGCATCCCTTAAGCTGACATCTGTATTACACCCAAAAGAAAAGTGGTTTCGAAACAAGTCTCAGACTGTAACTAGTGGAGCAGAATTAAACCGTTTAAAACATCTTTGGCAAGATCTGAACTTGTCAGTTTGTACACGTTTGTTATCCACTTTGACAGAGCTGTCACAGAGAATAAAATAAACTATCTTAAGCCAGGTGTGCAAAGATTGTAGCCTAGAAGCTCCAATTATTGCCAAAGGACAAGTAAAAAGTATAAAGAACTGAACACTACTTATATGAATGATTTTTAGTCAGTAATACATTCACTAACCACTCTGAAACGTGTGGTTTAGTGTGGCTTGACACAGAAAAGGGTGCCTGAATACTTTCCAAATCACTGTCTCACTTTCAGCTCGGGCTGTGATGCAAATATTGCAGTTATTACTGGCATTAGAGGTTGCAAACATTTGTCAGAGTATCAAGATCATATCATAGGTAAACAGAACCTGAAGATCAGAATTAGTAATAAATGTCAGGGGAGAAAAAGAGAGAAACAGTTCCTACCTTGACTCCAATATCTCTAGTCACTGGCAAAAGCATACAAACAACAGCTGCACAGTTTCCTGCACACTGAGCACACGTACTGCAGGCTCATGTCCTGCTGCAGGCACGGGCGTGTTGTTCTCATACATATACAGCCCCGACACACCTGCCACAACAGAGCACAGCTGTCAGCGCATCAGCCTTTACCCTATACGTGACCTCGCGGAGCTCTCACACAAGCCTAATTATGCACATATACGATGCAACGCACTAACCGCCTGATTGTGTGGCGACACCTGAGCACACATTCACTTATAAAACAGGATTCAACTCGTCTGCACAGAGCCCGCACACAAGGCAACGCAAACCAAGAACAAGCATACCATAGAGGCTTTTCGTCCAGCCCCGTGTTTGTGCCTGTAGTTAGGACAGGGCAACACAATGCACGAGAGAACGATTCAACAAAATTTCCAATTCTTTTATGAGACCTAACAAAAAAAGAAAAACAGCACATGCAAACCCCGCTCTATAGAATGGATCGTTGATTTAATAGGGCTCTATAAATAAAAATGATCATATGGATAAAATGCTCCTTTGGAACATCTGCTGTATGTTTTATTAATAACACACACACACACACAGAGCGAGAAGGGACAGTGAACAAGGGGAATGCTAATTGGCTTACACACAAACACACACATACGCACATTGTCAGATTGCCACACTGTAACTAAACCTCAGCTCCTCTCACTCCTCTCCCTCGTGCATTTGCTGCTAAAGGGAGGCCGAGTTATCATGGAAGTGAAACAGATTTCAAAGAAGACAAAAAAACAACAACTAAAAAAACTAAAAGCAGACTGGACCATATAGGAGGGAGCAAGGTTTTATAACCTATAAATAAGTGATGTGCCTTACCATTGCTACTCCCCCCTCGACCCTGACTTTGCTGCCCCCACCATCCCAAGCTCGCTCCTGCTATCTCGCTAAATGGGGGAGGGGAACAATGAAAGGAGTATGAGTGACAGATAAGTAGATCCTCATTAAAACTCTGCGCTTATATCATCCTCCGCTCTAACCCTCCTCTCCTCCTCTGCATCGAGCTCTGGAAAATGATAGAGGAAGGGAGAGAGGAGAGGGAAGGTGCTGCTCATTGGTTATTCCTGTTCTCTGACCTAACTTGACAACCAGCTCCAATAACAAGACAAAGAGGGATGACACAGAGATTTTTGCCAGAGACCAGGATGCTGACAAGGAAGTGAACTGTCCTAAATTGGCAGATAATGGGCCTGCTGTGGGCCGCTCTGTAACCTCCTCCGCCTTTCAGTGTCTTTTTTTCCCTCTCTCTGTTTTACAAGCTTTGCTGGTCAGCAGCAGAGTCGGATGTACCACTGTAACACCTTCTCTTTATTTTTTGTTTTCATGTGTAACTCAGTGAGTCACCCTGGAAAAGCTCGTTACCCAAACAAATCGCACAATTTGCTTCTTAGGACAAATAGACCTCAAACTATAATCAGACACGGCGTTTAAAATAACCAGCGCGTCACCTGATTTAAAGTACACACTAGCATACCCAGCGGATTACTTTTGAAAACCAGTGCTCAAAATACAATGAAAGGTCATGTAATATGCTTTTTTATTTATTCAAAAGATTTTGGTTTATTCATAATCTTCTATAAAAAAAAAAAACTAATGGAAAAACCTGAATCTGGAAAAAAACAAAACATTTGCAGTCCAGTGTTTTTTTTGTTGTTGTTTTTTTCTAAAGCCACATGGACTTTGGAGTGCATGGAGAGGCTCCCTGCATGCTTTCAGCTGCAAACAGGAATTAATCAAGAGTTAGGAAATTGCAAGTACAATACAAGTGTGTTAACAGTCTCTTTAGGCACTGGAGTCTCTGGAGTCCCATGCCAGGACCCCTGAAGAATATGTCATTTCTTAAGTTTGAATGGATTTAAGACTACATTATTCACATTAGCACTTCCAGTCGAACTGAAACAGACAATAAATAATGCTTTCAAATTAGATCATTAGTACTGTCACTGTGATTCGGGGAGTAAACAGAGCTACACAAGTTAACAGGGCATGTTCTCCCCAAATGGTTTCAAATAAATGTCAAGAGTGATTGTCATAAAGGTGTGTGGAGATATAATCTGGGGTTGCGTCTCTGAATCAAAATGGAAAGGAGAAAAAAAAAAAGCAAACATGGAACTTCTTGATGCCAAACGTGATCTAATAAAACAGAACGGATGCTGATTTGGGTTTATTATTTGGTCCCGTAATGCTTGGTTGAAGACTGGCCGTACAGCCCATAGAATTCAGCATGTCTGGCTGTCTGCGATGTTTCCATCAGTCCCCTCATGGGAAAATGCTGCAGTGGCTGACTTGCAGGTAGAGGGGCATGTGGGGCAAACTCCTGAGAGGTCACAGAGGGGAAGGTGTCCGACGCTGGGTACGGAGGCCGGGCGCAAGCAGCAGGGGCCCTGGAGCAGCAAGTACACATCAGTACTTTCCTCCCTTCGTACACGGCTTGTTGTGAGGCACCAACACTTGAGAAGTGGGAGGATGGGAATATGGTTCCTGAGTGGTGGCTAGAGCTGGACCCTAGACCCACCATGTGATGGGCTGAAGTATCTAGGAGCCGACTATGACCAGGGCCAGTGTGAGGATTCTGTGAGAGGACTTCAGAGGCATATACAGATGATGCCCGGTGACCTTGGTTGGCCAGGAAGGGTTTTTTGCTGCTGTAGAGCAAAGGTGGAGGATTCTGGGAGTTTTCTGGGTTAGCCTCCAGGAACGCCATGCTGTATTTCCTCTTCTGTATTCCTGAACTAGTCCCCAACTGGGAGCTAGCAGAGCTGCTGTGAGACTGCACAATCTCCAGAAGAGGCGACTCATTGAACGGTTCTGAGAATGACAAGTAGAGGTAGGACAGAGAGATGAGTGCTAATTCTAATGATAATACATCTCTGAAAAACTCATCTATAGTTATTTTTCTGTAATTTAATCCTACCCTCCAGCATTTTTCGCAAGTTCTTCTCTTTTGTTGACAGGTCGGACAGCAAATGATGAGAGTGGAGCTGGCCCACTCTGACTGGAGGGATAATGCTATTCAGATGTGAGTTTGACCTGTAAAAAGAAACACAACAGTAAAATCATTAGTATCGAATTGTTAGAGACACTCTGCACTTTGAGATTTAAAAAATATAAATATTCTTTTTTAAAGTTGGCTGTGATTAAATTTGGACAAGATGATAGTGCTGCGAAGTTATCAACACTACCTTAGCTAGCTTGGTTATTTCCATTGGTAGCTCACTGCATGATTAAATAGGATGCAAAGTTTGACTGTAATCATTGCACCAGTTTAATCATTATTAAAACTGATACAGCTACAAAATTGGCTAAACAGACAAACCTGTTTTTACAACAGACTGTAAAAGTTCTGGTGCCAAAGGTTGGGCATTTTAAAACCCAGTTTGAAGTGGCCATTGTAAGAACTTTTTGGAAATATCCCCTTGTTGAGTCTGAAAACCAGTGACTTTCAAGTCTAAATGCTCCATCAGTTCCCAAAAGCAAACAAGCACCGACTCACCCCTAACGATAACATGTTGAAATGCTTAAGTTAAAAATAGTCCAACTTCTTTCAACAATAAAATGACTAGTGTGACTTTTCTCCCAGTAATAAGGTCTAGCAGAGTTAGAAGCTAATCTGCCTCAACACAAGATTTGCGAATCGACATGTTGAGCACAGACCTTAGAAAGTTTGTCAACTTCACCTGACTAACCACTGGTGATGTGAAGTCAAGATAAAACAATTTTCTACTTTGAGGGGAGGTCACTACCAATTACTGCACAGAATGGTGGTTATTGACATGTGAGAGCTCAGTAAATACATCGGTCGGTTAGCTATGCAACCGGAACCTGGCATGTCTGCTAGCAATCAACCATCAGCTTTAAGTGCTAATCACTTCCTGTGTAGATGCAGCTTTAGATGTGAACTAGCTGACACCTACAAATGAGATAACATGTTTTTACTGAAGTACGAAAAAAAAAAGTACAGCCATGCTATACCTCTTGACATAATACAAACTGCAAACTTAATAACGGATGTTTGAATGTTTAGTCGTAACCACTTGTAGCAGATGGCTGCCCCTCCCTTAGCCTGGTTCTGCCTAAAGTTTCTTCCTGTTAAAAGGAAGTTTTTCCTTCTTACTGTTGCAAAGTGCTTACTAATAGGGGGTTCCTTCATTGTTGAATACTTTCTTGAGACAACTGTTGTTGTGATTTACATAAATAAACCTATACATGAATAAACCATCAATTGACCTGCTACTAGGGTTGCCAAAAAATAAAAATAAATAAGGGACACCTCATGGCCAGGGCCGGGCGACCCAGTTGTCTTCACCCTTCCCAGTGTGGTGAATTTTCTAGCTCTTTTTTTGTGTGTGAAATTATTTTTTTAACCATTTGACTTGAAGTTGATTTAAGTAGATGCATATTCTATTCTTTGTGATATGAACACATGTGAAACAAATGATCATTTAGCCATTTATTTTTAGCTCAAAATGACAACATTAACACGATAAAACAGGTCTCTTTCTTAAACAGAAGCCTGTCATGCTTAACTTTTGAGAATATAAGTAAATCTTTCTTTAAAAGCACTCTGTCCTGCTTAACTTAAAATAATAGAAAACAATAGAAAGAAAAACATTCTTGTAACAGTGCACATTTAGTGCATTTAGTACAATTGGCTTCAGTTGAGGTATTATTTCAGCTTTTCTAATGCTAATCAGCTGCTCCTGTTTGTAAACCCGCTTGTTCCCATGATTACGCATCATAACTCATCATCATTATTCATCTATGTATTACTTTTATGTATTAGTCATCAATTTGTTGTAATCATCTATCCTTGCAGTTGTTTATTACACAAAATAAATTATATTATCACACTTCTGGCCACATAGCGCTGATATTCACTGCACATGCCCATATTAACGTTTTCCAGCCAGGTGTTTTCCTTTTCCCATTCTTCCCTTTCTCTGAGGGGAACAAACATTGCTGCTCTAATGCTGGGCTCACACTGTGCGATTTTTGGCCCATTTTGAGACGATTTTTGAGTGATCGGACCGATTTTGGCCTTCATCGTGCGTCGTGTAGTATACGTGGGGTAACGAGAAGTGATTAACACCTCACGACCAGCTCCCGATCATCAATCGCTCGTGAGGTTCTCACCACAGCCGCTCACACTGCTCGCGCGCAAACGTAAACGTTGGTGAAAAAGACGGAGCAGTACGGCAGTGCAGCGTGTGATCTGGACACAAGCGATGGAGGCGCAACTTGTAGAACTTTGGAAAGCTCATCCGAGCCTTTTCGATGTGGCATCACAAAATTATCACAACCACAACAACCGTGAAAATAGTTGGATTTACACTGCTGCTCAATCACAGCTGCCTGATCAATGTTTTTCATTAGCAATTTAGCAAAGTTGATGGTGGTGGTGTGTCTGTGTGAGTGAAAGACAGAGAGAGAGAGCGAGCGACAGATTTTCTGTTATAACCTTCATGTTATGGAGGCACAGTGTGAGCACAGTGTGAGCACTCAGGTCGCATCAGAGCATCGGGCCATACGAACTTCTAACCCCTGCGAGTCAATCGTGCAGTTTGAGCAGGAGATGAATAACGTGACTGAAAAAAATCGCACAGTGTCTGCCCAGCTTTAGGTGTACTGTCATCCGAGACTTGCACCGCAGAGTCGGCGTTTGTTCCCCTGTTGGCCATGCTTCTTGTTGTGGTCATCTGTTGTCTTCCGGTATTTTCTCCGCAAGCGACCTTTCCTCGACCAATGAGATGAGCGGTAATCTGAATTGTCATACTCGAATTGTCATAAGTGTGCTGTCAGCTCATTGGTCACAAAGCAGGAGAGAGGCTGGGAATTATGTTTTCAAACAAAGCGTTAATTCCATAAACATTTATAGACTACTTTTGATTCTCACTGTATTACGGGACAAAGTGCGTCCCTTATTAGCTCAATACGGGACGTGTACTTTTGTTTCGAAATACGGGACGATTCCGTATTTTAAGGGACGGTTGGCAACCCTACCTGCTACCTGTAGCCAGCCATGAGGTAGCTAGCTACAGCGCTATGGTTAGGCTAATATTAGCATATTAGGAAGATGTAAGATGAGGCCTAAATTGTTGTGAATAAGACTATATACTGAAAGTCCCCGACAGCCAAAGATAAATGTCACCATATGGCAGAAAGAAGACTATCGGGAAAAACTTTGCAGCCAAGTGAACGTCTGAGGTGAACCCATCCACCTCAGACTGGACATCCACACCAAAATCATGCTGTCCAGGGGACTGTAGATCCATTGGCTGTAGTGTGCAGGGTCAAAGTTTAACTTGCTAAAAACACTATGCATAGTGCTAAAAAAAAGTTGTTGAGGCCAGGAGTGACAAATGAATAGTTAAAATCACTGCAGCATGTTAGAAAACTGTGAGGCTCACCCAGTCCCACCATTAAACAAGCAAATAACATGTGGCAAGGAGACAACCCCTCCTGCTTATGATCAGGTTTTTGAAATAATTCATCACAGAGTATTTTCCATTTATACATCATAGGGGAAACACATGGGTTTATCTGTTCTACTGCTGTTTTCTCTGACCTTTGCTTATATTTCGCTTGCTTGACCTCTGTTGGAGCTGTTGTTGTTTTTTGCCTGCTTTTATTACCAGTACACCCGCTAAAGCTACATTTAGCTAATTCCACTGAAAACAACGCAACAGTTGAATGTTGTACAAGGACATATTTGATAGTTTGGCTGTTTTTCTCACAATGAATAAAGATGATGATCAGTGCACTAAAAAGCTTGCATGAAAACATCACTGAGTTAGTCCAAAGAAATGAATATCTTAGAATAACTTCTTACCTGTCCATGAGGAGCTGATAAGGTTTTGTATTCTGAAATGAAAAAACAAAAGTTTCACGGGTCATTCCCACACACCTTCAAATGTCTCACTAACAGTTATTATAAGATGCATCAGGGTTTACTGCGCATGCTTTCATATCACAACATCATTTTATATCCCTCAAAAGTATCACTGTCTGATGCAGATGCAAGAACTGTGAAAAGGGGTCATAGAGATAAAGGTTCATGTTCGATAAATAGAAAAAACAATTTGCAGATTTGTTGTACCTTCATGAAATTCAAACTGCCTGCTTTTTGGAAGAATGTTTGCACTGAGCTCAGGAGTTTTTCTGCTTCGTGGCGCCTCTCGTTGAGCTGCAGCACCTGCTGGGAGTTCTTCCTCACGTACGAGTTGTAGGTGCTCTCCAGCATCTGCATGGTTTCAGCCTGGTTTGCTTCTAGCAGCGCATGCATCCGCTGATACTGGGCTCTTGCACGCTCTTTCAGTTCAGACACTGCATCCTGTGGTCACAGGATACACAAGTATGCACGTTTACACGCAGAAATGCATTTTTAAATGACTAAAAGTACTGATGTTAACAAACAGATACTACAATTTTTATTAACAGACACACAATTTTATGGAATCTATGCTGTTCTTGTTCAATATGAAAGTGGGAAAGTCGTTTGTTAAATCCATTTTCACTTTGCTGCACCTGCCAGTCATAGTTAAAGTTACATTTACCTTTGATTTCCCAAGAGTGAGAAACGGTAGAGTAATTTCATTACAGCAGACAAAATTATAGCACAAACCCCCATGCTGATAACATTCACATAACATTCGGAATTGAAAATGCACCTTCATCAGTGTCTTGTCTGACTCCAGCTTGTTGAGGTGCTCATCGATGTTCTGAACACGACCTTCCAGTCTGTCTTGCTGCCTCATTAGCATGGCCTGTGGAGGAATGACAGATAGGATGGATTAGATAGGCGAACCACAACAAGATGCCCTGAAAATTAAAAACAAAGATACCCATACATTTAGAAACTCTGAAAAACTTGGGCCTCGGCTGTGACCGCAGCATACCTAGCTGCTTTTCACGAGGCATCGAGACAACTTTCTCCACAGTCAGCTGCCAGCGACATGAACATGCATTTAGGCATTCGGAGAGCAAAGGCAAACATGGCTGCACAAATCATTCTCTGACTGCTCCAAAGTTTGACGCTGACCCTGCTGTGTCAAATGAGCTCCATTGTTGGGACAAGCTTACTTCCTCTGTGGGTACACAAGAGCCAAGAGCCAGTTAAAAAAATCCACTGAACATAATCCTTCCCCATTTACTGCAGAGGCTGGGAATCAATCTGCTGTCACAGACTGACAACTAACTAGAAACAGGGGAGGGCAGGTAGACTTTTTAATGAACTGTTTCTGCATTGGAAAGGCCGCGTACCCAAATAAGAGAAAACCTGCTGTCATGGCAACAAAGTCTTGTGTATGTAGTCATATGTGAAATCTCATGTGTATGTAGGGAGCGGGGGTGCCTCACTACCCCCCCCGCACTTTCTCATTTTGCCACATGCATTGCTCCCATTGTTTGCATTGGCCTGTGTGTCAGTGACAGATTGTCATGTCTGTGTGCACAGCGCCGAGGTCTCCTCCCTCCCTCCCAATGAGCATGCACCCGAGAAAGGGGACGAGAGGAAAGGCGATGCTTGCACATGCCAAGAACGGATAGAAAGAGAGTGAGAAAGACATACAAAAAGAGAGCGAAACCAAAAGAAAAAGGAGGAAAAAAAAGTTTCGCCCAAAAGAGAGAGAGATAGGGAGAATGAGGACATTCCTGTGGTCTCGAGTGAGTGAGTCTCAGGGTAGTCACATTGTGGTATCACAGCAACAGGCCTCTTCAGCTGCTTGCAACACTCACGTTGTGCTGTCTAATGGACATCCACAGGCTGGCCACTATAGTTTACCACAGTGAACACTTTCAACAGTGTATATAGTTTCAACAAAATAACAAAGAAAGACTCTAAATGGCATAAAATAGTAGCCAAATGTACCATAATAACTCACTTATGCTTGTTATCAGAACAGTTCTTTTGAGTGAAGAAGACTACTGATTTGTCCACCTAGGAAACAGCAGGAATACGTTTATCTCCCCTAACACTCAAAGGAAGCAGAGTGGATTATATGACATGTATTTTGGGCAGCTGAGAGTAAATGCACTGACATGGGAAAGACCCAAAAGTGGTATTTCTACTGCTTCAGCATATTTTAAGGCTGGCCACAAAAACTGACAAAATTTCTATCCAGGCACTCATTTTGGGACAGCGTAGTAGTCTGGTGGTTAGCACTATTGCCTCAAACCAAGAGGGTTCTGGATTTGAACCTGGGGCAGGGCCCTTGTGTGTGGAGTTTACATGCTCTTCCTGTGCTTGTGCAGCTTTTCTCTGGGAGCTTTAGCTCTGCACCCGAAGTTAACGCCGCCTATACTGGCCCAGGACACTCTTCCAAAACATGCTAACTCTCGAGACTTCATTCTTGGTTAAATAAAGGTTTAAAAATATTACTAGCCACCAATTTTGCTCTGTTTTTAGTGTACTCCAACCCCTATTTGTCTTCTAACTGCTTGTTACTGTTAGCTAGTCTCTACATTTGTAAACTTTAATGTGACTGAGATACTCTGCTATTTGATGCTGAGCAGGCAGTGGACAGCTGGTTTCTCAAAGCTGTCTACAGCTGTCTCCTACAGCTGGAAAAGTAGTGGATGGGAGTGACCCAAATAAGTAAAACCGGATCAATTAACTGAAAGATGCTCAAAAGCTCAGCTGAACTGAGGGAACTGCCACTGACACTTGAGCTTCGGAGTCATTTCTATCAGCGACATCTCTAACATTACACAGTTTCTGATCCACGGTAGCTATAAAACTATCGATGAGGGAAGCTTTAAGTGCTGAGAAGGAAAAACACTGCATTTCGTTCGTGAATTAACTGCTGCATCACCCTGCAGTGCTGACTATGTTTTTAAAAAATTGGTCCCACAAGTGAAATCAAGAATACATTTTTATGAGTACAGCTTAATGGGCTGTTATACTGACACCTATAGAGTGTGTGTGCAGAAATAAAGTGAACTGTTGAAGTAAGCCCTATATCATACAGCCATGCGGGTGAATGTAATTAACAGCTGCACTTGCAGAGGTTTTCATATCATTCATGGAAAGAACAACAATAAGTTCAGCAAGGGCTGCAGCAAGCCCTGTACCACACACCTCGAAGACTATTCTTCTTAATTCTCCCAATTAAAGTTGAGGCACATTTCTATTAAGGACTTTACAGTTTAAGCATTATTAATGCCTCGTGTTGGTTCATGTTCCAAATGACTTGTCAGAGTCGTTATCTAAAGCTTTTGGTGGTTTCACCATAACATATCAAGTTCTGCTTTGTGCACCAACAATGAGATCACATATAGAAACCACGAGCACACTGTGATGTGTTCAGTTAGTGGATTTTACATGTTCACTAATGAAATGTTGTTTTGAGTGTTTTTCTCAGATGCAGCTAGCACTGAGCGCGAACACTTCTCGTGTAATTGGCAGGGCTTTACGTTGAAAATCAGCAGCGTAGTCTTTAATCCTGTTTCGCACAGTTGTAACACATCCTACACCTGTACTCCATCTCAACACCACATCTTGCTTACACAAGAGGCAGTTTAGTTAAACACTCCTCTTCAAACAACCTGATAGTAACCGTAACAGCTGACACTACCCTGCAAACTGGTGGACTTGTGTCAGTTGGCTGCCTGTGTTTCTTCTTTCCTTCACTTTTTCATGTCCTGCCTCCTCAGTGCCTTTGAACTTAAGACGGTGCACTGGTATTATTCATCACTTTGGTAACACGGCGCACACGAGCTCAGTGTGAATGCTGCATTGACAAAACAGGAAAGAGCACTTTGTTGGGTTATTAGTATCGTAAATGGTGCGTGAGCTGCTTTATGTGAGCTGGCTTCACATTATAGCAGCAGCTTTTCTGTGTCTTGATGCTTCTGCTCAGCAACTCTGTCTTCCTCTTTTTGTCGTGTTTCCTCCAATTCCTTTTTTTTGTCTTGTGTGTTTGAAATAGCACAGAGGGGCTGGGGCAGTGTAGCAGCATGAAAGCCTACCTTTATCAAGCTTAAGCCCGCCAATGATCACTTTCCCCACTGTCCTATTTAGGCATCCAGACACCCACAGGTTGCCAGGAAGCTCATGTTTAAATGAGGAGCCTCAGGCTCAATGAACAGAGAGCCTCTTTCACAATCAACTGACAACTATTCCCTACTTCTGATGTCAGTGGCCTGCCCTCAGTATTCTGGGTATCTGACTCACTCCAGCCCAGATACACGAAGCTTCAAACAGCAGAGCTTCCATGAGCGACGGTTTCCTGCTGAGGTGCCTGAGAAAGCCAAGGTGAGGTTGTGTGGGAGGGCTCCTCCTCCGCTTGTCCCAGGGAGAACATTACTATTATATTACGCTTCTTTTCTCATCTCGAAATTACCAGCATGTCTGCAAAAGGTTAATGTAAAAGTCTCCTTTGAGAGCCAAAGATAACTAAAAGATACAAACATTGCTACGTCGGTTTTGTGTCTTTGTTTATCCCAAAAGCAACAAGAGTGCTGCCCGGGGAATTTAAGACCAAAATAGACCACAGCTCTGCGAAGGAGAACGACCTCTCAGCAAATAATGACGAGAAGACACTGTGGTCTCGTATTACTTTAACAAATGACCCAGCACACAAGGAGCACAACAGTTTTTGCTATTAACACTTTTTTTTCTCAATAAATCACTGTGTATTATATGCCTGAAGGTCCAGGGATGGACAGTGTGACTCCACAGTGCAATATGCTCTGTGAAAATACAGTTGTGAAAGAACAGAAAGATGGCTGGGTGTGTGCATATGAGTGTGCACAGAGAGCAGCTGTGGAAAGGGCTGAACAGACATCTTTTGTCCCAATAATAGCTCTGAACCAGGGTCAACTGATTTAGAACTTACCCTGGAAAGAAATATGTGTAACTTTCCCCAAGTGGAATAATGCCTTCACTAAATAGTATCAAAAAGACGACGAGAGGGCAAACTGTAAAACAAATCTGCTTCTGATTGCTTCCATAGATAGGGAGGAGAAGGGAAGGAATGTGTTTAAGGTGTGGGTGGCTGTTTTTACACCTTGCTACTTGCGTTAGTCTTGAGAAAAGCAAAGAAACAGAAATAAAGTGAGGAAAACCCCACATGGCGGTGGCAGCCATGGCATGCTGGCCCTCGTTTCTTTACGCATCCTGAGGTCAAGGCTGCCAAGACACGCTCATTATTTAATTGTTGCCAATTCGTAACCAGATTAGGATCTATTTTGCTCTTACTCTCAATTCATTTCCACCTCTTCCTCCCTGCTAAATGTCCCTAAAATAGCATTCCAACCCTGGAACCCTGAAACTGATCAGCTAACATAAACAAACTACACGCGTTTCCGCCCCTCACCGCACATAGGTCATCGTTTCCGGTGGATGCAGATTGCATCACAGCACTTATCCGAAGGGCACAGCGCTGCTAATGGGAAGGCGTGGCGGTAAAGAGTGGGTGGTATGATCAAGGTTAAAAGCAGCGTGTGTGTGTGTGTGTGAAGTATGCCTATATATGTGTGTTTGTGTGCTATCCATGTACCCAGAGGGGTGGCTTTCACCTGTCCAGTCCTTTTACATCAGATTAAAGAGGAGGGAAAGAGAGAAGGCCTTTATAGACTAGCGAACTGAAAGAATTACCCATGAATTGTGTGCACCAAATGAAATCTTTTCATTGCCCTGTAGGAGAGTGTGTGTGTATGTGTGTGTGTGTGCGCATTTGTACCTGCATTTGTATGCGTTGCGTATCAACATCGCAGACTGTGTGTCTTTGGTTAGTGCAGTGAGAGATGCAGCAGAACGGACACAGAGCCACCTGCTCTTCCTCACAGTGGAGCAGCCTGTACTCCTCGTGACTGGGACAGGTCCAAGCGCTCAGCTCCTCAGCATCGACTAACAGGTGTCCCGGCGCCGCACACGGCTGCTGTAGGTGCGTCTGGATATGAGTTTGGCAGCAGGGCTCCTTACAACGCAGACAGACTTTCCGCACGGGCAGCGGGGGCCCTCGTCTGCAGAGGACACAGTGCAGCACAGGGGGGGCTTTCTCAGTGTTCAAAGCATTGAAGCGCTTCACTATGTTGGCGAGCTTGAAGTTCTTCTCCAGTGTGGGCTTCTGGTCGTAGTCATGGTTGCACTCTGGACAGCGGACCGCGGCGGTGTCTTTGGCCCAAGCCTCAGAGATGCAACCCTTGCAGAAGTTGTGCTTGCACGGCAGCTGGATGGGCTCGTCGAAAACATTCAGGCAAATGGGACACAGAAGTTCCTCTTCGAAGCAGTTTTTCCAGCTTGCATCCATGACCTCGGCTGAATCCAAACTGATGAAAAACAAAACAAAACAAAGGAAAGGCTTAAGAACTGGTTTAAATGAACCACTGCTTTTTAAAAAAATGAGCCTATTACAGTTTAATTTTTACTGCACTTATATTCAACTAAAATGGCACAGATTGGAAACAGGCCAAACCAACACACAGGGCACTGAGTTACAGGCTTATTAGGAGTGCATTACAGTGGCACAGCAATTAACAAATGAAGCTTAAAGTAAGTAGTAACAACCTGCTTTTCAGAGCAAAAGAGTGCCATTACACTGAAACCCAACACCAAATATATATAAATATATATAAATTACATTTCTTCATATTTCAGCGTAATGTTTGGCTTCGCTGGGGAACAGGACGACACAAGCTGTGGCGTTTTGAGAGCGAGTGGGAACTTGACACTGAACAACAAATGTGACTCTTGTCAAATAAACTGTTACACTGACATTTTATTACGCGAAGGCACTCCTCGGCTTTTCTTACAGCAACCCACAGAAACATAACAGATGTATTCTTAAAAGAAAAGGCGTAACGTTACCAACTATTTCTCTTCCATGTCGTCGGCAGACTCCGGTGCACCTATAATACCGTGGAGCTTGTCATCCAGTCCGCGGTGAGATCCTCGCTCCTCTTGCTTCAGATTACAGCCTTCTGTCGGTCGCAGCGCTCAAAGCCGGGATTTTATAAGAGTCCCCCTCTGGTTTTCTCGTCTGGTTTCGCTTTCCCGTCAACTCTTCTGAGTAATATTTTATGGTAAGTACAAGCAGGATAGTCACTCGTCGGAAGAGAGTGCAGTGCTTCCACACCGACCGACTGCCGACCTCCAATAACGTGACCCGTCACGGAGTTGATACACAGGCGGGGAGGAGCCGGTAGGAGGAAGGCGAATGAACGGCCACAGCAAACTCTACCGGACAGACTGTAAAAGACCAGGAGGCGTTTGTGTGGCTCTTCATGCTTTGAAGCAGAAGAAGAGTCTCTGGCTGGGACAAAGCAGAGCCCGACACCCCCAGCCCCAGGGGCCCGTGACAGGGTTGGTGCATGTGGGGAGGAAAAGAGTGGAAAACATGGGAAGGTAATGTGGAGTAGATTTCAAATTAGTCACTCTTTTTAGGTAAAAAATAAATAAATAAATAAATGTTAGTCTTTTTTTTTTCTTACATAGCGTTGTGAAATGTACAGTGATGAGTGTTAAAACTATGCAGTGACGCAGACATCCTGTAAAAGTGTAATATGAAGTGAGCGAGGGGGCCAGAGGCAGCCCTAGGTTGACTAATAAGATTAGACTTCTTAAGAAGAGTTTGCACAAATATTAACAATCTATTTAAAAGTATATTTTAATAACATCAGACTGTAAAGCTTATTTGGAAGTAAGAATCCCAGCCCGACTATCCATCCATCCGCTTCCGCTTATCCTTTTCAGGGTCGCGGGGGGCGCTGGAGCCTATCCCAGCTGTCATAGGGCGAAAGGCGGGGTACACCCTGGACAGGTCGCCAGTCTGTCGCAGGGCTAACACACAGGGACAGACAATCATTCACACTCACATTCACTCGCACATTCACACCTAGTGGCAATTTGGATTATCCAATTAACCTATCCCCACAAGCTGCATGTCTTTGGACGGTGGGAGGAAGCCGGAGTACCCGGAGAGAACCCACGCAAACACAGGGAGAACATGCAAACTCCACACAGAAAAAATTGAACTCAGGGGCCAGATCAGAACTCCAAAGAGTCCAGTCTGTCCAATTAGGCAACAGTGCTAACCACCGTGCCACCAATCCACGTTTGACACACCTGAAGTAGACCACCAGAGCTTTTTACTCTTCTGGGAGTCTGAAAGTTTGAAAATCGAAACCTAGACATAGCCATAAATAATAAATTTACTTAATTACTTTCAGAAAAAGTGTAATACTGTTGTTTTGCACGTTACAGGAAATCACAATAAAATAGAAAAAAATTATAAATAAAAATTCAAAAATAATGTTCCACAGTACTTCTGAATTAGTGTTCCAGCTTTATTTGTGTAAATACATACATACATACACACTTTAATGCACTTGGGATTACAATCAGCCAGTTCAGTCAATAAGATAGTGCTTAAAAAATTCAGTACAAAAAAAAAATCAAAATTTTATTTGTCATTCTGAATAAAAAAAGAAAACGGTAACATCATGTTTTATGAGTACATTTCTGTAGGAAAATGCTGTAGTAAAAGTAGTCTTCTTTTTTTGGCATGAATATGGAGTGAAATAACAGTATCAGAAAAAGGGAGTGAATGCAGCAGGCTCGATTCAAAATGATGTGTCCAAACAATCCAGGAGCTTCAGGCTGCATTGACAATCACGGAAAAAATGTTGGGATTTTTTCCCCCCTTCGGCTGGAGGGAAAGGCACTGTGGAGGTTTACTCATTTTTAAACAGGTCCACTGATCCAAATCATATGTTACATATATGTAGGCACTGGAAACTGCACTTGAGGAGGCCATGATCACAGATTACAGTCTATTAACATCTACAACAGTGACACTACACATGGGTGTTGTGTGAGAAAACCTAACTCATTACTGGAGTTATAATCTTGGCACAGAGGAGCAATCGAGGTGGTTATACCTGCAGCATTTGCCAGGTACTTAAAAAGTGACAGTTAATAACAGGCTATGAGACAATGATTAACTGTCAGACTAGTGTTCCCGAAACATGAAACATTTGAGACAGAAATGGTTCAAACTTTGGCGTGACCACAAACATATCAGAGAAAAATGTCCAGCATTTGTAAATACTATACATATCAGCTCAGTTTAAAAACAACACTGATAAAAAATGTTTAAACTGGTTATTCTTCTTCCCTTTCGAAGGCCACTGGAATAAATAGAAGTGTTTTTGAGAACTGCTGCTCAGTTATTGCTTTAGACAGCATGTCAGGAGATCACAGGATGTATGCTCAACTACATTAGTGATGTATATTTTGAACTACCTGGAGGACTGACAGCATCCAGTTTGACCAACAGGATTGTTCTAACAAGCCAACCATCTGGACTGGCTGGTCTGATAGTCTCAAAAGCCTCATACAGATATTGTAAACAATGGTGCTAGTCTGAGAATGCGGTAACAGTCAGAAATGTTTAGTTCATCCCTCAGATTATCTTTTTGAGTGAAACAGTTGAGGCCAGCCACAGTGGGAACAACGTATCTATAAGCTCTGACAGCCTCTCAGAGTCCAGGGAGGTCTGCTGTTTCTGATGGTCCACTCTGGAAATGTTTACACGTCTTTTTCTTGGCATTTTCAAAAGAGCAAGTGTCTCTGTGTCAGTCTCACTGGAGTGGATTATCAAACACAGAGTCTGGTAGAACAGAGATTTTTAGCTTCTTTTCTGGCCAGCTGTACTCCTTTGGCAACTTTGTCTGCAGAAAGAGAAAACACATGCAAGGTATACCAGGCATGTAGTCACAGTGCCTAAAACTGAAAGTAAAAGGTAACCTGCAAGGGGTTTTTGCTTGCCTCATCACGAGTGTTGAGTTCCTGTAAATCCCCGAGCATCTGCTCCACAAACTCTTCAGTCAACAAAATCTATGAAAGGAGAACAGAATTTAGAAAATGAACTCATTAAACAGGAACGCAACAGCCAGAGGTCAGAGTTTCCGTGTGGGTACCTGAAGCCAGGGGCCATGGGCTGCATAGGGATGCTCTTCAGTAGCAAAAGCACCTTCAACTCCTGTAGACACAAAAGTGATGGCCGTGTCTCCGTTGATACTTTTATATGTGAAGTGTCTCCCGTGGAGCAACCGCCCCCTGTAAAAGATCAAACACAATCCATTATGAACTAACCACATGATTACACTCATAAGTTGTGTTTGTTTTCATTTATGTTTGCCATAAAACAAGATTTCTTATGTCATAAAGAAATTGCTAGTAAGCGTTTAAAATTTATAAGCTTTAACCTTTTATCTTCTGAACAATTTTTTTGTGGTGACTGAGGAAAGGCAGTTTGCCATTTTGCATCAGAGGAAGCCTTAAAGAACTGACCTGTTGAAGATAATAAATCAAGGTCAAAATGCTTGAAATAACCACGAGAATTAAACTAAATCTGTTAGTCGATGCTGAGGAGTTGAGTGCTTTCTAATTCAGAGAAATAACCGTAAACATTTAAAGTCAGTTAATTATTTAAATGAATTTAAATTAAGAGAAACACTATGTTCTGCAGTTTTCAATGGGAGGAATAGAAAAAAGATCCAAAAGATTTGTTTCATTAATATCACAGAGGACAGTTTGTAGGAAATATGACATAATCGCCCTTCATTGCGGTATCATATAACTGGGACATAACACTGTGTTCTCAACACATTTCTCCTCCTTTTACACAGAGCTCTCTCTGTACAGTAACTCTAAGCTTGTTCTCTCCTAAAAATGAGTTTAAAAATAAAGCAGGTTGAAACTGGTGGGAAAGAGACTTCCTATTGGATAGTCCGCTCAGTTGGCATTTTGTTTGGTTACACACATTCCTATAAATGTCACCTATGCCCCCCTCCCACAAAAAAAAATAAAAAATCCAGACGGATTGTAAATTCCACAAGTTACAGAGTATATCAGAAATCTTATTGTTTGCTATTGCAAGTTTGCCATTTGTCACTTCAGCATTAGAGGGAAATGGTACAAAGGAGACTTTCGACCGGATAGTCCGCTTAAATGGCATTTTCTTTGGTTATACACATTCCTATAAATGTCACCTACATCCCCAGTAAAAAGTAAACAAAATCCAGATATTACTGGACTGTGAATTCCAAAACTCACGTTAGAGGCAATAGCTGCATTCTTTTTGTCAATAACGGACTCCTTTCACCAAGTGCAGGCTCTCTTCTCTTTCTCATTTTAAGATTAACATTTTTTTTTCTCTTCAATGTAAGATGGCTGAAATGGTAAGGATTTATAGACCATGTGACTGTCATGAACATATGGAGGTAACTTTAACATTGAATTTATCTCTGCTAATCTGTATTAATGTACTATCTTTGTCCTAAATCCTCTTCCTGCTGTTTGATACACTTCTTGCTGTGTAGGCGAGCAGGAAGGAGAGCCAGACATGCTCCACATGCTGTGTTGACAGCACTGATTCAGTTGCTCTGTCAATGTACACTAATAACCTTTGTTGACTTCTCTGTTTAAGAAAAGCTAGGAAATAGATGTAAAAACACCAAAACATGTTAGACAAATCTAGAGGATCAGAGTCTACGTCCAACAGTCCACTGTTAACAAATACTAAATTCCTGAATGTCACTTCTTTGATGTTACAGGTAACATTAATATCGACTTTAAGCCGTTTCACATTCTGCTCACTTATGATAACACTAGGCCCACTAAAAAGCAGCTAACTTGTTATTTTCTTCAGACTTTGAAGTGATATCAAAGTACATGTGGGAGGAAGTTCAACTGATATTTGAGGGTGCCTTTCAGAAAACCTCCTCATTCACCCCTGAGGAACTAGTGGTCCTACATGCCATTATATTCGGCCACACCTGTTCAAAATAAATATCTGGGGTATCCTTTCGGTCTCACATACATTCAGAAAGGGTTAATTTGCCCAGCGGTTGTAGGAGAAGAAGAATGGTGCTTTACCGCAAGCAGAGGGGCAACAGTGTGCCTGACTCTTGGTTGAATTTCAAATGGACACTCTCCAACTGCCGTGTTCGGACCAACTCATGAGGAACAATAGCTGCTGAGCTCTCACTCTCCAAACTGTCCTTTCGACTCCTGATAAACACAGAAAGAAGAAGAAAATAATCTCAGTGAGGAAGCAGAAAATGGTATGTTCACTGATGAGTCTGTTAGAAAACAACTAAGAAGGGAAAGGCAGCTTTTTGGCTCACGCACACACACACGTGCGCAC